AATTCTGACATACTGAAATATTCAATCCAAGTCAGTTTTTCTTCAGCATTTGTCTATGTAGCAGTCACTCAGGTCTCTGTCTACTTGCTAATTTTCTACTTATTAATTCACTTAATTCAGTGTGAAAGTTCAGTCTCTAAGTGGGAAAGAAGAGGTGAGTTGTAACTGAGCTTTTCACAGTTAATGTATGTGTGTGCACATGTATAGTGGTGTGGTAGGTTGTGGTTCAGTTTTATTTCAACTTTTCACATGCAGAGTTAGCTCGGGTCTCCTCGACTGTGCTCAGACTTCCAAGCACTCAACAATATGAAACAACGTACATGTATGTCTGCAGGTGCATTCATAAGTAGCATATAGTAATAAAAGGTAGATAGAGTTTGTTGTATATATATCCATTACCTGTATTTTTTATCCTGTGTTTGAGCTCTATTTAGATTTTAAATTCTCTGAAGTTTGAGAACATGAGTCTTTTTTTAAAAATGTATTTATTATGGTTTAGGTTCTGGGATACTTGTGCAGATTGTGCAGGTTTGTTACATAGGTACACATGTGCCATAGTGGTGGTTTGCTGCATCCATTGCCCCATGATCTACATTAGGTATTTCTCCTAATGCTATCCCTCCCCAATACCCCATTCCCTGTTATTCCTCCCTTAGCCTCCAACCCCCAGGCCCCCAGTGTGTGATGTTCCCCTTCCTGTGTCCATGTGTTCTTGTTGTTCAGCATCCACTTATGAGTGAGAACATGCGGTGTTTAGTTTTCTGTTCTTGTGTCAGTTTTCTGAGAATGATGGTTTCCAGTTTCATCCATGTCTCCACAAAAGACATGAACTCATTCTTTTTTATGACCACGTAGTATTCCATGGTGTATACATGCCACATTTTCTTTATCCAGTCTATCATTGATGGACATTTGGGTTGGTTCCAAGTCTTTGCTACTGTGAACAGTACCACAATAAACATATGTGTGCATGTGTCTTTATAATAGAATGATTTATCCTCTGGGTATATACCCAGTAATGGGATTGCTGGGTCAAATGGTATTTCTATTTCTATATCCTTGAGGAATTGCCACACTGTCTTCCACAATAGCTGAATTAATTTACACTCCCACCAACAGTGTAAAAGCCTTCCTGTTTGTCCACATCCCCTCCAGCATCTATTGTCTCCTGATTTTTTAAATGATCACCATTCTAACTGGCATGAGGTGGTATCTCAGTGTGGGTTTGATGTGCATTTCTCTAATGACCAATGATAATTAGCTTTTTTTTCATATGTTTGTTGGCTGCATAAATTTCTTCTTTTGAAAAGTGACTGTTCATATCCTTTGCCCACTTTCTGATTGGGTTGTTTGTTTTTTTCTTGTAAATTTGTTTAAGTTCTCGGTAGATTCTGAATATTAGCCATTTGTCAGATAGGTAGATTGCAGACATTTTTTCCCATTCTGTTGGTTGCTGGTTCACTGTATTATAATTTCTTTTGCTGTGCAGAAGCTCTTAAGTGTAATTAGATCCCATGTGTCTATTTTGGCTTTTGTTACCGTTGCTTTTGGTGTTTCAGTCATAAAGTCCTTGCCCATGCCTATGTCCTGAATAGTATTGCCTAGATTTTCTTCTAGAGTTTTTATGGTGTTAGGTCTTGAGAGTATGAGTCTTAAAGTATAGTTCTTACAACTGAATTTGACTACAGTAAAACTTTTGAATACCTAGTAGAGTTGTTTGTCTAATGACATATTTGTTTTTCTTAACTGTTTAAGTGGGAGAAAAGATAAGATATATTAAAATACACTTTGAGTTTTAGGTTTCTAGCATGCTTTTTGAGAGGGAAAATTTTTTAGTTGGAATCATGTAACACCTTTCTAGTAGTTTTATACTGCTAAAGATTTAAGCTTTATAGATTCATAGGACTTTTGACTTCATCATATGGCAAATGTATATGACTTGATTAGGTGGCAAATAATATTTTGGCTTTCTTTCTTTGGAATTAGCTTCTTAGTTTGCATCTGACAATTGTGTTAATAGAGGCTATTTTTAGCCTTAAATTGTATTATTGAGAAGCTTACAATATTCCATTGCATAAAACAGATGAAGGTATTAATTTTATACCTTTACGGAAAGCAATTATAGTACCTGTGATTGACTGTCAGATTTGAAAATGATGTAATCGTGACCTAACAAGGAACGAGAAACAGGTTTTTAAAATTATATTTATCACCACTCTTTCCCCTCAAAACAATTATTTTACTTTAAATAGGAGAAGAGAAAGGAAACTGACATTTTTGATTACCTGTCATTTGTCAGGTGTTATTTAATCTATGTAATCTCATTTTATAACCAATGAAACTGACTCAGGGGTTTCAGTATCTTATCAAAGGTCACATAGTCCATTAGTGCCCTTAAGTAGACCTATCTTTAATGACAACAAAACGTCTAGTTAATTAAAAATGGAAAATTTATTTAAAATTTTGAATTATTAGAAAAATATGATATAATGTACAAAGTACAAATGCTCTGGAAAATGTGTAAATCTTGCTTTTCTCATTTTATTCTTGTGAAATATAATCCTTCTTATGTTCATCAGAGAATTAAAGTGCTGAACATTTTGAACTTCCTTAATATGTTAGCCAGCTGGCATATTTTCCTAGCAAAATATTTTCTGATTTGACCACAGACTCTCTAAATCAGTTGTTACTGGTTTGAAAAAGAGAATATGCTGTCATGGTGGGCACCTGATCATGAAAACTGATATCTGGAGTACATTTTTATTTGGATTTAAAATGTTTTTACAATCCCAGTATAAACACTGTTAATCTAGTCAAAACTTTTTCTCATAAGATCAAGAGCTTGCATAGTTTTACTTTAACTAGTTATAGTCAAAAGGGTAAGAATAAGTTGTGCATTTACATTACACAAAATCTTTATTATAAACATGAAGGATATCAAACTAAAAATAGTTGTAGGAATTTTTGAGATAAAACAGTTTAAAAACTCTAAATAACTGGATTTATTTAATTTAAATACCATTTTGAAATTTTCTGGTGTGTAACCTTTGTGGGGTTGGGAAGTAAAGTATATAGTTGTTGGTACAATGCTGGAAAATTACAACTATGTCCTACATTTGGAAAATAGATCCGGTGTTTGAGAGTTACTGATTTTTTTTTTTTGGTTACTCACTGAACTAGTTTATGTATATAATTAATTTCCATTTTCATGACACGACAGGCCCCTGCACTAAGGACAATAAGGCAAATTTTTATTTTTATTTTTGGAGACAGAGTCTCACTGTGTTGCCAGGCTGGAGTGCAGTGGCGCAATTTCTGCTCACTGTAACCGCCGCCTCCCTGGTTCGAGCGATACTTCTGCCTCAGCATTCTGAGTAGGGGGGACTATAGGCACGCACCACCATGCACAGCTAATTTGTGTGTGTGTGTGTGTGTGTGTGTGTGTGTGTGTGTGTGTGTGTATATATTTTTTTTTTTAGTAGAGATGGGGTTTCACCATGTTTGCCAGGGTGGTCTCAATCTCTTGACCTTGTGATCCACCTGCCTCAGCCTCCCAAAGTGTTGGGATTACAGGCATGAGCCACTGTGCCCAGTCAAGGATGATTTTTTTAGTTGTATTTCTATAGATGAGTGAAGAACTACTTATTTTAAGGCAGTTTGTGTACCTTGTCTTAAATTTGGATAGTAAGTACTAACAGTGGCTAATTATTATAAGAAGTATAAAGATATAGATTTAGAAGGGTCAAATATAGAGAAAATAATATTTGGGTATGCTTAATTTCTTTCTATTGGTTTTTGCTGGGTAAAGGTTATATTGCAGTTTAGTTCTAGTGAACAATAGTTGTACTTTAACACCCACCCATCTTTAAATGCAGTTAATGGACAGATCTTGATGTTAGCAGAAACTACTAAAATATTAAAGGAACTTAACTATGGAAGGCAGCAATGTATTACATTTTGTAAATTATATGTGGATACTTAAAAATATTTTTTATTCATGCTGTATTAGAAAGGAATAGTTAGAATTTTTTTGCTGAATTAGGGCTGGCCGCTTTTGGAAGGCACCATTATTAATTTCTAGAATATTAATGAGGGAACAGAATTGAATCAATAAAAAAACCTTCAACTTGTTCACTGAAAGAATTTATATGTAGATATTGAAAAAGACTTTAAAGAAAGCTTTCTAGTTAGATAAAATATTGGCATACAAACATGTTGGTAACATTAGCGGGTCTCTAGCAACTATACGTCACTGTAGATAGGTTATAATCTATTTCATTTTTTGTGGGAAAAATAGAAAGTCTGTCAAAAAAGAGAAAGAAAAATAATTTTGCCTGATTAGTATCATCTGACAACTTATAGAAAGAAAACTGACCATGTCTTCTTAGCTCTTGTTTGTTACAGTTTCAAGAAGAGTCAAAATTATTCTCTGGCTCAAGGTTTTAGCACTGATGTTTTGCTTTCTTTGTAATAGTTATGAAACATAATTTGAAAAATTAATCTTTATGACTGTATTTTAAGACTAAACACTTAGAATATTATGTTATGTGGGAATTCACTATGGCATTGAGAATTTTAAATATGAGATTAAAAATAGATTAGCCAAAAGAACTAAAAGGAACTAAAAAGAATAAAAATTTTCCCCCCTCAATAGTACTTAAGTATAGTTTACTGCCTACCCATTCGTCCACTTTGGGTGGAAGAAATCTGGCGAATTTCAAGAAATGTAACAGTGACTATATATTTACCAGTTTTGTCAGGTACAAACTTGCCTTAGTTGTTCATATTTTATAAAATCATGGAAACCTTTTTCTTTTATATCTGATTTCTAAAATTGTCTCATAGTTCAACTTGGGTGTTCTCTTCAAACCCATAAAAATTGAAGGTAAACTTTGCTATAACAAAATTTAACTTGTATTTCTTATCTTAGTTGTAAGTTATTCAATATTCTGGCACCCAACTTTATCTTTTTTTCTTCTTGTTGGCATCATCTTTTTCAGCACAATGGAGAATTTACAGTCTCTCTCAGTGATGTTTTATTGACCTGGAAATACTTACTCCATGAGAAATTGAACTTACCAGTTGAAAATATGGATGTGATTGACCATTATGAGGACATTAGGAAGATTTATGATGATTTGTTGAAGAATAGTAATATGTTAGATCTGATTGATGTTTATAAAAAATGTAGGACTCTGACTTCTAATTGTGAAAATAATAACAGAATATCCCCTGTAAGTATTTTTTAAAAAATTCTTTTTCAATCAAATTAAAATTTAGCTCAATTTATTTTGAATTATAGTATCCCCAGTTATAGTAACTTGGTAATGTTTTGCTTAGTGAATCATGATAAAATGGGAAAATTTAGCTACCTGAAAGCTAGTTATTACTTGAAAGAAATCTTCTGGTGGTAAATTTTGTTGGTCTTGTGTTATTGTTATTTGGTTGCTGTAGGAGTAGCTTCTTAGACCAAAAAAATTGTAACAAAGGAATTAGTCCCAAATGCCTGATTTCTTTTTGAATTATATCAAAGATTGCTTTTGTGTTTAACTTTCTTGGTTGAATGTATATTTGTTCATTTGGCACATGTTGGATAAATGATTGGTACAGCTTTTTGTAATGTTATTTTACTACATATAGGTACCATTTATGAGAATAGTATTATGCAATATCCATGAGATAATAGACTATTCCTTTTTTGAACCAGCATTTTTTAATGGAGTAAAAATTTAAAAATTAAAGGGAGTAGTACCCCTTGCAGTTTGCTTTTGTCTACGTTAGAATTTATAAACTGTTTAGAACATATTTGGGCATATCTTGTTATTTTTAAAGTGTTGAAAATATTTTTAGTTATTTGAACATTTACTGAGTGCCAATAAAGTCGTAGTTAAATAGTGGTAACAAATAACTGTACATGAAATTAGAAGAAAATGTTTACTATATTTTGTAAGATATTCAATTATTTTATAAATATTTTAATATAATACTTGGGAATAGCATTTTAGCTGATTATAACAGAAACCTCCACTACAATAGTGGTTTGGAGAAAATAGAAGTTCAACTTTTATGTAAGATATCTAAAGATGAAAACAGGACTGATAGGATAGCTCCATGGTTATCAGAGACCTGGGCTTTTTCTGTCATTCTGCTCATCCATTTTAGTCCAAAGATGACGGTTGGAGCTCCAGCCATTATATTCATTATACTGGTATTCCTTGCACCAAGAAGTAGTAAGGAAGAACAGCACTCTGCTTTTCTATTAAGGGTACATAGCTTTTTTCTTTCATCTTATTGCCAAAAAGTTAGTCACATGGCTGCAACAAGCTGCAAGGGAGGGTGGAGAATATAGATCTTATTCTGGGTAATAACTTGCCAGAATAAAAACAAAAGCTCCATTACTGGGGAAGAAAGGGAAAATGGATATTGGCAGGCAGTTTGCGGGCTTTGCCTCATTGAACCATCACAGAAACCTTTGCCTTGTTATAGCTTCCTCAAAACACATCCACACACATATACAACTACACTATGGTTAAATACTTGTGAAGATAGTTTTTAAAATTTTTCTTAGCTGTATTTTACTTGCCTACTTACGGAGATGATTTTTGTCTACTTTTTACATAGTTGATTTAGAGAGCCTTATTCATATATAAGTAGTGGATTGTAGAAACAATAAAAATCTTAAAAGCCAGAGGTAGTATAATCTACCTGAGGTCTTCAGGTGCATTGTTTTCATTCTATTCCTTCCCATTGTCTAAATCCTTGACTAAGTCTCGTCATTTGAGTGGGTAAAATTATAGTATGATATTTATCAGGGTACATGTTTGAGGTTGTCTATGTGGGAGACTCTCTCCAAATGTCAACATGTCACCAGGAAGAAAATTGAAGCTGCTAAGATGGTAGTATGTGAAGTAGAAATTGTTCTGCATTTTAATCCTGGAAGGCCAACAACTTAATCTCTGATACTGTTTGCTCTAGGGAAATTTCCAGTGCAGGGAAAAAATAGACAGGAAAATATATCCCTAGATTGATTTCTCAAAAATGTACTAACTATAATCCCAATTTATGCTAAAGTCTCTTTAAAGATACATATTAGAATATTGCAAACAGTTTTGAATTCCATGATCCTGAGTTTTCATGATCATGATAAAATTTCTTTGTTTCATATTTGTTGAAGCTGAAATAAGGCAGGGATTATGAGAAATTAAGATAAAGCTAAGTCAGGGCAATTCTGGGAATGTGGTCACTTGAACATTGCCTCTTTCCTCTTTCCTCCCTATTATTCCTCTTCTAAGGAAAATGGATACAGGGCCCATGGGCATCTCAGAGCATACAAAGCCTTAGATTGTAACTGGAATCTTAAGTATAGAGATTTGGTACAGGGCTTGCTTTCTCACGAACTGAGCAAGTATCTGGAAGACGGGATCAGAGACCTGAGGTGAGGCGCAGATCCTAAGAAGAGCTTAGGTTGATCCTAAGAAGAGCTTAACCTCAGAGATCTGTGGACATCTTTGGGGGAAGGTCAGCAACTGCTCTCTCTGGGTACACTCAGATTCCCTGACCCTTATGCCAAGAAGTAGCTGAATGGATGGGCTCACTTCCTGTTGGTAAGGCTTGGAAGAACACAGGACTCTCCTTAGCCTCAGCAGATGACTGGTAGCCTGCTTGTTTCTCCACTGATGCTCTATAAGTATAGAGACCATTTCAACTTCCATTACCTGTAGGACTGTCATCACTTAAGATACATCAGCAGTCAGATCTGAGTCCCAAAAAGCTAATGAAGAAAGCAACACACCATTAAAGGGTTTCCAGTGGCCGGAGAAGGATGAGTTAACTGACAACACACATGCCTAACAGAACAGAGCTACTAGAGGGGAATAACAGCAACCTGAATGATATAAATGTTGGGTACCTGGGAAAATTCAAGCATAGCCTCTCAACATAAAACTATGGAGCTGACAAAAAAAAAGAAAAAGGCAGCACACCTGCATGGGCCTGAGTCTGGGTGGGGCTGCTGAGGGTGCTTCATGGTGCTGGGCTCTCTTGGATGGGGGGATGGTGGAGGGTGCTGCAATGACCCAAGGCGGAATGCAGCTGGAGGTGTAGGTTCTTGGCTTGAACTTGTTTTGTGATGAGAAGGCCACCCTTGAGAAAGCTCATAAAATATAACACCTCTATAAAAGCAGTCCTTAGCTGGAGGCTGAGGCTGCTGGGAGATGCATCGACATCAGGGAATGAGGTCCTGCCTGTGGGTCCCTGATGCCTGCACACTTTTTAGGATCTTCTGATCTACCTGGCAGGCATCAACTATATTGCCACCTTCAGAAAGAGAAGGCTTGCTGCTGTCCAGGACTCCAAGGGGTCCATTAGGCAGTGGGGGCCAGACCCAGATCTCGTGGCTCCTGGGGAAGATCTACCAGTGTCAGCCTCGTTGCCTCAGGAGCAGCAGAAGGGAGAGTTCCTCTGTGCATGGAGCTGATCTCTAAACTTGGGATTGCCTGGGATTCCCATCACAGTCCAGAAGAAGAGACAAGACCTGAAGAAGATGGCAGCTACCATGCGACAAGTAAGACAGTGGGACAACGACCTGCTTCAGAGCATTGAAGCCACCTGGCACCAACTCACTGTCCAAGCTGAGAAGAAGAAACCAGGGACCCAAGGAGCTTCATTCAGTTTAATATAAAACCAGCAGCAAACCTCCGAAGTCCGGGCATCTCAGAGAAATGCCTTTTTTGTGGACATGTTACTAAACACAGAGCTAGATTTTAGTTTTGTCAATATTTGCATCTCCTACTTTATCAAAAAGTTTTCTTTTTCTTCCTAAAAACCAAAGAATGCTTTCATTTCCAACTGCATCCCTTGTTCTGCTGCCTCCCTGCTCCTTTTCTCAAATGTTGGGCAGGTGGGCTGACTCTTCTCAGGGATGCAGATGAAAGCTTGTTGGTAGAGTGGAATAAAAAAGGGCAACTCCTCTTTACAATCTCAGAATGAATTGAAAAACACAGGACATAATATATTCTAAGTCCGTCCAGGATGTTCTATTTTAAGAGACAAGTGTGAAGCTGTACTCTGAAACTGCAGGATGGGTGGACAGTGTTCTAGATCAAGTGTCTGGTTCTCCCTGGGAGCACCCACATTTCTTTTAAGGTTTCCAACAGAGATGTAATGATGAAGTTACTCACAAGAGGGATTAGATGCCGGCTGCTAGTTGCAGTTACTGGGTTTCTGTAAATTTCATCTGTTGATGTTCTACATATGTGGTAAGAATTTATTTACTATGTAGTATGTTTAAATATTTATAAGTTTTATAAGCTATTTCCTCCTGTATAAGCTGACAATTCAAGTTGTTCACTGTTTTCCTGTGACAGTTATTATGTGCTTATAAACCTATCAGATTTATAAAAATGAGAGAAATTTATTAATTTTTCAAATATGACATTAGAGTGTAAGTAAGCAAACTTTTCCCTGTGTAATTGCATAACATTGAGATAAATACTTCAGAATAATTTCATCTGATTTTTATTAAAAATAAATCATTTCCAGACACGGTAGTTCATGCCTGTAATCCCAGCACTTTGGGAGGCTGAGGCAGGTGGATCATGAGGCCAGGGGTTCAAGACCAGCCTGGCCAACATGGTGAAACCCCATTTCTAATAAAAATACAAAAAAATTATCAGGGTGTGGTGGCAGGCACCTGTAATCCCAGCTACTTGGGAGGCTTAGGCTGAGACAGATAATAGCTTGAACCCGGGAGGTGGACGTAGTAGTGAGCCAAGATCACACCGCTGGACTCCAGCCTGGGTGACAGAGAGAGAGACTCTATCTCAAAATAAATAAATAAATGAATAAATAAATCATGTTTATGAAAACTTAAAAAAAAAAAAATTCCCAACACGGTGGATGAATTCAGACCAAAATTAGTCTTGAAAATTAAGCATAGTAAATATTTAAAACAAAAAAAAATATTAAAGAAATCATGAAGTGCTTAGTACTTTTCCAAGTAGGAGAACAGAAAAGAGTTAAACAGAAACAGATGCATAAAAGGCTATAATTAAATACATAATATATTTGATATAAACGTTTGTTATAATACATATTTTCCTTAGCTGAAAAAGGCAGATAACACCATTATTGTAGGTTGGCCTTTTGAGATAGCTCTTCAGGGATTTTGCATGTCTGACACCCATGGCTCCACCTGAACCCACCCAGAAGCAATTCAGCATGCAGGATGACAGCGATCACCCTATGATTTCATCTCTGCCCCCACCAATCAGCAGCAAGCCTAGCCACCTCCACCCCTTCTTCCAAATTTCCTTTGAAAAACCCCCTAACCTATGAGCTTTGGATGATATTGGATTGAATATTAACTCTGTCTCCTACATGGCATGGCCAGCCTCATGCCTATTAAACTCTTTTCAAGACAGAGTCTCACTTTGGCGCCCAGGTTGGAGTGCAGTGGTGCAGTCACAGCTCACTGCAGCCTTCCTGGCTCAAGTGATCCTCCCACCTCAGCCTCCCGTGCAGCTGAGACTACAGGCATATGCCACCATGCCCAGATAATTTTTTGCAGAGACAGAGTTTCATCATGTTGCTCAGGCTGATCTTGAACTCCTGGGTTCAAGCAATCCACCCACTTTGGCCTCACAAAGTGCTAGGATTACAGGCGTGAGCCACATTGCCTGACCTAAACTCTTTCTTTACTGCGGTTATGTGGTCTTTATTTGTGCAGCAGACAGGAAGAACCCACGGGCAGTTACATTATGAAGTTTAATTATATGTATACTTAATGACTGCTAGCAACTGTTAGGTAACGCTCTGCACTGAAACATCAATGACACTGAGTAGAGCTTTGTGTGAAGTATTTTTTTATAGTCAGCATAGCATTTTATTAGTAATATCCTGTATTTTCTACAGACTCAACTACTGGATTTTCTGTCTGGCACACAGTATGCAGTAGGTGGTGAAACCGATCTTTATATACCAATATCACCAACGAGTAAATATACCCAGGATAATGAAAAGGTACTGATAAACTGTGAGTAAATTAAAGCAGATTATAATCCCTTTCAAATCACTGAATTTGGCAGTACCTTAAAGTGACTAATGCTTTGTAAAAATTTTTTAACAAATCTTTAATTTGTTTAAAACTGTACTTGCAAAGAATAATATGTTGGAGGCTGGTGAGAATGTGATAATAGCGTCTTCATGGTTTGGGGCTAAGGTAACAGGCATTGAACAAAAATAAATATCATTCAGACTATCAGAAAAGTAATTGAAGGTCCAGTTTGTCAGAGTTCTTTGAATCTCTTTGGTAAACTTCACATTTACTGTTTTAGATGGTTGATCCTAGGGAGCATATGCTCAATTGAAAAATCTCATCTGTACCCCTTGCAGTAGTACAACTCATATATCAAGAGTTCGGATAATAGGGTTTATTGTATAAACCACAGAAAAGTAGTGCCTCATACAAGTTTGGTCTAATATAATTTACCTTCAGCTGAACGCTATGCTGGGTACCTAATTATGTATGGTCACCTCCCTAAACATAGTAATAGTGCTTATGAAAATGGGGACCAAACTATGACCCTTTTTCTCTCTTGCTCACATTCCTATTTAAGTGGCCTGGAAAGTCATACCTTCTAAACCATAAAATCTCATCAGATGGGTTTTATTTAACCCTCTATAATGAGGTTTACTTTCCCACCTGACTCTGGCATAACATCACATGACAGAGAAGGAAATAAATACGTTTTGTTTTTTGCCATATTTTGAAATGGTCTTACAAAGCTGTCTTTTGTGGAAGAAAATTTGTATCTGTAAAGGATCTCTATTAATGTAACTAAATCTTTCCCCTTCCAGACCCTCCCAATCCTAAAGAGGTAACTGAGAGTCTAGCACCTTTTAAAGGTCTAAATAGGAAGCCTTTGCCATCTATTGTTTCTTTTTTTGTTTTGTTTTTTGAGACAGAGTTTCGCTCTTTTTGCCCAGGCTGGAGTACAATGGCAAGATCTCAGCTCATCGCAACCTCTGCCTCCTGGGTTCAAGTGATTCTCCTGCCTCAGCTTCCTGAGTAGCTGGGATTACAGGCATGCGCCACCATGCCTGGATAACTTTTGTATTTTTAGTAGATACAGGGTTTCTTCATGTTGGTCAGGCTGGCCTCGAACTGCCAACCTCATGTGATCTGCCCGCCTTGGCCTCCTAAAGTGTTAGAATTACCGGTGTGAGCCACTGCTCACACCGTAGGCCTGCTGTCTAAGGGTGGCTGCCTATGAGACTTCATCTGCATAGTAAGAAGCTTGGTCTTTACAATCCTCTATCTTAAACCAGAGACTCCTTTCTGCTGGTTCCAGGTCTTTAGATAATAATTCTTTCAACCAGTTGCTTGCAAATTGGAAAATCTTTGAATCTACCTATGACCTGTAAGCCCCACTTCAAGCTGTTCTACCTTTCCAGGCTGAACCAATGTATACCTCACAAGTACTGATTGATGTCTTACGTCTCTCTAAAACATATATAACCCCAGCTACGCAGTAGGCTGAGGCAGGAGCATTGCTTGAACTAGGGAGGTGGAGGTTGCATTGAGCCGACACTGCGCCACTGCGCCACTGCACTCCAGCCTGGGTGACACAGCGAGACTCCATCTCAAAAAAAAAAAAAAAAAAAAGAAAGAAAAAGCATATATAACCAAGCTATAACCCAACCACCATGGGCACATTTTCCAGGATTTCTTGAGACTGCACCTTAGGCCATGATCACTCATATTTGGCTTAGAATAAACCTTCTTAAATATTTTACAAAGTTTAACTCAACAAAAGTTTCTGTGATTAATAAAATCACCATCGACAAGATGAGAATTTAAGAGTATCACAAAAAGTAAAATTATATTGAACATATTTTAATTATTTTTATTTTGTATATTTTGATTATTTTTGTTTTTTTTTGAGTCAGAGGCTCACTCTGTTGCCCAGGCTGAAGTGCAGGGGCACTGTCTCTGCTCACTGCAACTTCTACCTCCCGGGTTCAAGTGATCCTCTCATCTCAGCCTCCCAAGTAGCTGGGATTACAAGCGTGTGACACCATGCCTGGCTAATTTTTGTATTTTTAGTAGAGACTGGGTTTTACCATGTTGGCCAGACTGGCCTCAAACTCCTGATCTCAAGTGATTCGCCTGCCTCGGTCTCCCAAAGTGCTAGGATTATAGACATGAGCCACTGTACCCAGCCAACATATTTTAGAAATATGATATATAAAAGGTTTAAATGCCTTTACTTTCAAAATCACCTGCCCCAGGAAGTTAACACATTTGGTGAATCACCTTCATTTTTTGACAAACATTGCTGAGGTAGATACTTTTATATGTCCCATGTTATATAGATTGCACTTAAAATATATATTTTATCAGTACCCTCAAATACCTGTATGTCTTCTTCCTGGATTTAACGAAGTGTTTTATGTGTGCATCTAATATTATTTTCTGTATTATTTGAAAGTAAGTTGCTGACATCATGTGGATCACTAAAGTTCCTTAGCATACACTTCCTAAAATTAATGACATAACTGCAAAATAATTATCATAAATGAGAAAACTTAAGTATTTTCAAATATCATTTACTAACTTTCATATTCAAATTTCTCCCTTTGTCCCCAAAATGGCTTTGTGCATCTTTTTTTTCATTTTAATAATTAACCTTCTGAAAGCTTTATGTCTCTGTAGACTACTTTAGAGAATTCCCCTAATCTTTAAAAAAATGTTTTTTGATTAATTCCTTGTGGTATTATTTAACTTGTTTCTTGCTGTATTTCCAATAAACTGGAAGTGACATCTAAAATGTTGCTTAGATTTTAGTTTAATATTTTCTAAGAAATACTTCTGAACTGATACAGAGTATTTCATTTTATATCATATTGTAAGCAAACTCAGGTGTTGGGGAAAGCAGCAATGGAGGAGGGGTTTACAGTGTGCCTACATAAACTGGTAATAACATATAAAAGAAATCAGGAACAAACTGCAGAAGGCCGCAGGAGGCCTCTGGGGAGGAAGGACTCTCTATTGCCAGCATGTTCCCAGGTGCAGTGTCCTGAGCTCTGATATTCTAAACATAGTGCCCAAGGACATAACACTCTGTTGAAGCACTGGAATGTAACCAGACATATAGGCTCCTTGCTCAGCCTGCTCCTACCAACTACATTGTCTATTGTTAAGCATACGCTTTTAGCTCTTGGGAAACTCACTTAAACCGCCACTGCTATCAACTTTATGTTTGATGCACAGCCTCCCTACCACCTGCACTATAGATAAAAGTGATTGTATTCAATAAATATTGTGGAAACCAGAGCTCAGGGCCTCTGCAGCCTCCAGTTTACACACTGGTCTCACTTTATGCATTCTTAACCTGTCTTTTTCTCATTCCTTTGTCGCCACTGAACTCAGGGTACCCACAGGTGGTATGTGGGGGCTGGCACCCTACACTCATCCTAAATTGCCAGGTTTCTCTAGTATAAGGATGTAGTTTTTCCTTTGCTGTCAGCAAAGATCTATGAGGTGATACTTTGGCACTGTATAAATATCCTGTTTCTGAATAACCTTTTATTTAATGGCTTTAGGCATGCATTGATGATCCCTGCTTGAATCAGATTTTTCTCTAGTGAGCTAATTCTGTCATGTCTTTACATGAATTACTTGCCAGTTCTCAGTAAAGAAAAGCTTTATCTTATCAAATGAGATGAAATACCCTTTTCTAAAAATCTCAAGGTCACTCCTTAATTCTCTACCAATTTAGAGGTTAACGTAATATATATAATATAAGCAAATTATATTTTTTCTATTGTTCTCTTTTTTGTGTGCCTATTATACGGACTCATGAATTTATACTTATTCAGTGTTTTAAATCAGTTACACTCATTATTCTTTGAGGCTAAAATAGAGGAAGCTGCTTCAAGCAGATTTTTGTATCTATTTTACAGGCCCTAGTAGACTTTTCAGGCATTTTTTTCTTTACTGGTGCAAGAAAATATCCCAAGCCCACCTTGAATGTTTGCTGCCCACACCTGGTTCATTTTAGGGATTTGTAACTATTTTCTCTTGCTTGAAATTAATTTTTCACTTACATTTCCTTTCTTTTCCCTTGATGCCCCAAATCTTGACAAAGTGATTGCCAAATTTTCTGATCTTAGTGGCGTTTAAGCAGTGTATTTGTATATCAAGAGGGTAGAAAGATCTCTTTTATCTATTCTATATATGCTATAGGGAGGAAATTATAATTGTTATATGCGTATTTTAAAAGAGGAATGAACCAATTTGCATATGCAAAAAGAATTAAGCTTTTGGAACTTTGGCTTATAGATATAAAGTTTAAAGGGGTGTCTGTGACTAAAGATTATAAGCATGTAGTTTCATCATTTAAACACCACTGATAGTTTGTTTCATTGTGTTAATTCTCTTAATTTCAATCTTTTGCTTTCTTGAATTTTATTTTCTAATAGAATTTTATCTACTAGTTCAACTAATGGATTAGATTTTTCTGAGGACTATTAAATTAGCAGCCATCTTCTTAGCTGTGCTCCCGTTACTTGCAATTTCTAATTTTTCTTTTTACAAGGTCTCTTTGGAAGTCAATGTATTTCTTCCCCCCACCCCTGAGATGGAGTTTCACTCTGTTGCCCAGACTGGAGTGCAGTGGCACAATCTTGGCTCACTGCAACCTCCACTTCCTGGATTCAAGCAATTCTTCTGCCTCAGCCTCCTGAGTAGCTGGGATTACAGGTACATGCAGCCTCCTGAGTAGCTGAGATTACAGCTACTATACCTGGCTAATTTTGTGTTTTTAGTACAGACAGGTTTTCACCATGTTGGCCAGGCTGGTCTTGAACTCCTGACCCAGTGATCTGCCTGCCTCAGCCTCCCAGAGTGATGGGATTACAGGTGTGAGCCACTACACCTAGCTGGAAGTCAATGTATTTCTAATTAAAATCCTAATGTGAATTTTTGGGCTGCAGTCTTGCAAACATATATTTTGGCC